CTCGCGGTACGCGGGCCTCTCACTGTTGTGGCCTCTCTTGTTGCGGAGCACAGGCTCCGGACGCGCAGGCTCAACGGCCGTGGCTCACGGGCGCAGCCGCTCCGCGGCATGTGGGATCTTCGCGGACCGGGGCACAAACCTGTGTCCCCTGCATCGGCAGGCGGACTCTCAACCACTGCGCCACCAAGGAAGCCCAGGTCACTCTTTGCTTAGAATGCTTCTTACACCTTGAACATCCCTCCGTGGTCTGACTCACTGCTTTCATGGTGCTCTGTCTCTTTGAATCCAGCACACTGAGCTGGAAATCATTATCCTTTACCTTAAAGCAGCTGCCACCCTTCCGCCTCAGTTCACCTTATCCTTTACAATGCTCTCTCCTGGATTTCTAGTTTTCAAACCTTAAAGTTAGGTTTCAACCCTTCCTCTTCCCTATTTTCTTTTTGTACTAAGTTACCAAATGATCTTCATTCTCTCCTTTTCACTTCCTTCCCACCATAACCTGCCTTACTGTTGACTGTAGTCCCCCTAAGGCAGGCTGTCTGCCTTCTCCATTCTCTGCTTCTTTGCTAGCTAGGTCTTCCTTAAACCACGATTATGTTGTGTCTCTCCCCTGCCCGCCCCCAACTCACACACATTTAATGCCCCAATGATAAATAATGATAAAGTCTTCACTCTTGCTCTTGACATTCATGACCCTCTACTTAGCATTTCTTCCATTTTAGTACCCTATCACTCTTTGACTTAAACACCCCATATTTTCATCTGCCTGCCTCTCTTTATACTCTCCTTTCTGCTTCTCAGTTCATATATTTGTTTCTCTTTGTCAGGGATAGATCAAGTTTTTGTGGGTCTGATGGTTAGTCCTTCTGGGGCCCTCTTTAAGAAAAAGAACACAAAATTAAGAGTACAGAATTAGGGACAGGGCATTGGAAAGGGCCCCAATAAATGAGGGGCCCTGAAGCTTAAATTTCATTAGCTTCGCGGTACATCAGCCTCAGTCCCCCAGTCTTGCCTGTGCTTCAGCCAAAGATTATGCAGTGGAGCCAGTGGCTCCTCCGTGAAGCCTTCTCTGCCGACCCCAGCCAACACTAATAATCACAAATCAATTGGCTAAAGGCAAGGGTTTTGTCTTGCGCTACTTTACAGTCTCTGAGTCTTATCATTTGAATTTATTAATTACTAAAGGAGTAATAGTTCTTTATCAAATTATTACAGGGGTAATCGCATATAGTTAAAATTTTTTACGTACATGTTAGTTTTTTCTTAAATAGTTGTTCTCAAAATGCTAAGCCACTTTCGGAGCCCAGGGTAAGCTTCTGTTATACACTGTAGAAAATTATATGAATGAAATTTCTTTATAGAGTAGTACGTGTTCTGTGTTTGTATGTGTCCTAACCTTAGTTTTAGACGTCAGCTTTTATAACCATTTAGAATCTTTGTAGTTGGTGTGTAATAGATGGGAAGATGTATTATTCTAAGAAGACATTTTTATAGGACGTGAAAATCTTCCAGTGCTGGATAATTATTCAGAAAATTCTATACTGAGATTTATTTACGTTGCTGTTCTTTAGAGTTTGTACCTGTTTGTGAGAGACCTCTTATTTTCTGTGCATGTACTTTGCTGTTCCAGGACTCACCCAGGAAGGCCTTTTTCGGGTGAATGGCAACGTCAGGGTGGTGGAACAGCTTCGGTGGAAGTTTGAGAGTGGGGTGCCTGTGGAGCTGGGGAGGGACGGCGACGTCTGCGCAGCGGCCAGCCTGTTAAAGCTCTTCCTGAGGGAGCTGCCGGAGGGCGTGATCACCTCGGCACTGCAGCCTCGGTTCATTCAGCTCTTTCAGGGTCAGTACACTGAATCCTTCTAGGAGTTAAAACAATTTTATTTTTCAGCTAACACTAAGGTTTCAAATATTAAATATTTAAATTCTAAATGTTAAAATAGGATTTTAAATATTTGTGGTCTCTCCATAACCATCATCTTGCTATTTCACTCTAGATCTTCACCTTCTACCCTAAAACAATGCTAAACTGATGATGAAATACCATTATATTAAATGTAATTTCTAAGACTATTGGCATTGAAAAGCCCTGATGCTTTGGGACCAAAGAAATTCTTTCCTGACTAGTTAGTGACTGCCGTGGAAGTATTGATACTAAGACTAAGGCATTAAATTCTATGTAGGAAATATTAATTAATTAAATTGTGTTTGGTTAGTGACCTTTGAGACCGAAAAGTCACTGGTGGGCTTTCCTTTTCTTATAAGCAAGACTGAGTCCTAAAACAGTAGTTGTTTTACATAACTGAGGTTAAAATTGATTTTTTAAATGTTCTCAAACATCTTTTTTTCACCGCAGTATAGTTCATTTGCAATATTATATTAGTTGCAGGTGTACAACATCGTGATTCAAAATGTTTATATGTTATACTCCATTTAAAGTTATTATAAAATATTGGCTATATTCCCTGTGCTGTACAATATATCCTTGTAGCTTATTTATTTGATAAATAGTAGTTTGTACCTCTTAATCCTCTACCCCAACCTATCTTGCCCCTTCCCTCTTCCTTTTCCTTACCGGTAACCACTAGTATGTTCTCTATATCTGTGAGTCCGTTTCTGTTTTGTTATGTGTATTCGTTTTATTATTTTCGATTTCACATTTAAGTGATAAGACAGTATTTGTCTTTCTCTGTCTGACTTATTTCACTAAGCATAATACCCTTTAGGTCCATCCATGTTGCTGCCGAGGCAAAATTTCATTCTTATTTTATGGCTGAGTACTATTCCATTGTATATGTGTATATATTAAATACATATACCACATCTTCTAATCCATTCATCTATTGATGGACACTTAGTTTGCTTCCATATTTTGGCTATTGTAAATAATGCCAGTGTGAACATTGGGGTACATATATCTTTTCAAATTAGTGTTTTCATTTTCTTTGGATATATACCCAGGAGTGGAATTGTTGGATCATAAGGTAGTCCTATTTTTAGTTTTTTGAGAACCCTCCATACTGTTTTCCATAGTGGCTGCACTAATTTACATTCCCCCAACATTGTACAAGGGTTCCCTTTTCTCCACATCCTCACCAACATATGTTATTTGTGTTCTTTTTGATAATGGCCATTCTGACAGGTATGAGGTGATAGCTTGTTGTGGTTTTGATTTGCACTTCTCTAATGATTAGCGATGTTGAGTATCTTTTCATATGCCAGTTTGGCCATGTGTATGTCTTTGGAAAAATGTCTGTTCAGGTCTTTGGGCCATTTTTTAATTGGTTTGGTTTTTTGATGTTGAATTATATGAGCTATTTATATATTTTGGATATTAATCCCTTATTGGTCATATCTTTTGCAAATATTTTGTCCCATTTAATAGGTTGTCTTTTCATTTGGTCAATGGTTTCCTTTGCTGTGCTGAAACTTTTAAGTTTAATTAGGTCCCAGTTGTTTATTTTTGCTTTTATTTCCTTTGCTTTAGGAGACAGATCAAAACAATACTGCTGCAATTTATGTTCGTGTTTTGCCTGTGCTTTCTTCTAGGAGTTTTATGGTTTTGATCTTACATTAGGTCTTTAATCAGTTTGAGTTTATTTTTTATATGGTGTGTGTGAGAAAATGGTCTCATTTCATTCTTTTACATATAGCTGTCTAGTTTTCCCAGCACCACTTCTTGAAGAAACTGTCCTTTCCCCATTATACTGTCCTTTCCCCTTGCCTCTTTTGTCATATTAATTGATAATAAGTGTGTGGGTTTGTTTCTGGGCTCTCTATTCTCTTCCATTGATCTATATGTCTGTTTTTGTGCCAGTACCATACTATTTTGATGAGTATAGCTTTGTAGTATAGTCTGACATCAGGGCGTGTGATACCTCCAACTCTGTTCTTCTTTCTCAAGATTGCTTTGGCTATTCAGGATATTTTGTGTTTCCACACAATTTAGAAGTCTTCTAGTTCTGTGAAAACACCCATTGGTATTTTGATAGGGATTGCTTTGAATCTTTAGATTGCTTTGGGTAGTATAGTCATTTTAACAATATTAATTCTTCCAATCCATGAACACTGTATATCTTTTCATATGTTTGTGTCATCTTCAGTTTCTTTCATCAGTGTCTTACAGTTTTCCAAGTACAGGTCTTTTACCTCCTTAGTTAGATTTAGTCCTAGATATATATATATATATATTTGATGCATTGGTATCAAAAGAGAAGTTGTTAACTTCTCTTTCTGATTGTTGTTAATGTACAGAAATGCAACAGATTTCTGTATATTAATTTTGTGTCCTGAAAGTTTACCAGATTCGTTGATGAGCTCTAGTAGTTTTTGGTGGCATCTTTAGGATTTTTAGTATCATGTCATCTGCAAATAGTGACAGCTTTACTTCTTCCTTTCCAATTTGGCTTCTTTTTATTTCTTTTTCTTGACTGATTGCTGTGACTAGGACTTCCAATACTGTGCTGAATAAAAGTTGTAAAAGTGTGCATCCTTGTCCTGTTCCTGATCTTAGAGGAAATGCTTTCAGCTTTTCACTGAGGGTGATGTTAGTTATGGGCTTTTTGTATACAGTCTTAATTATGTTGAGATTCATTTCCTCTATACCCACTTTGTGGAGAATTTTTATCATAAATGGATGTTGAATTTTGTCAAAAGGTTTTTCTGCATCTATTGAGACGATCATATGATTTTTATTCAATTTGTTAATGTGGTGTATAACATTGATTGTATTATAAAGTGGTTTTAAATGAAGAATCTTCATTTTTAAAGGTACTAATTTTAGACATAATCATTATTGAGTTCTCCCTCCTAAATACAGGAAGAAAAATGATTAAGCTTTGAAAAGCCATTTCTTTCCCTGTTTTTGCCAAGTTAGGGTGAAAATGGGAAAATGTATTTATAAGAGTGTTAGATACCAGATTAAGAAGGATGTTACTTAAAGCCACATTCCTTTAAAGCAGTGGTATAACTATTCACATGTAGTATGCTAAAGAATGAGTAAGTGAGAAGGCCATATTGTATTCTATTGAAAAACAGGAAGAAAATATGAAAGCAAAAATTGCAGAACTATTTGTCTGTTATGGTTTTCTTCAGTGCTTTTAAGTTTTTTTTATCAGTAAGCTACACTTTAAAGTAATCGCTACAAAAGCAAGTTTGAAGATTTACAATATTGTGTGCCTAATACAAAATACTTAGTGTTACAAAGAATCTTTGTTACTCTTAATATTATATCTTATAATTTATAACACTATAATTATATATTATTATAACCTATAATCATAATATTATCTTATTGTACCACTACTACTTGTGAATACTTGTGAATTTTAAAAGTGTATCACATTTCCTAGAATAGCTTTCATTTGATAATGAGAATGTACTCTTTTATTCTTTTTTTGGTTAATTTTTACATTATAGTAATGTGTTATAATTCAAGTTTTCTTTGTAAATTATCATTCATGACATGTTTTCTTGGTGGCTAAAAAAAGTTGATATGCATCAGAAAAAGCAAGGGGTATCATTCTAATAGAAGTAAGACTGCTTATTTAGTCAGCCTTGGGGGTTGTGTGATTGTGCACAAATAACAAATTCTGAATGGGGCGGAAAAACTAATTTTTGCTTTATTGGTAGTATTCTCTCATTGCTTGAAAACGTCTGAGGTTAGATCTGAGAAGTTCAATAAAGGAAGTATAATGAAGTACTTACAAGTTAGGTAAGCTGCTAAGTAGAGGGAATAAAGTATGTCTTAGGTGCCAGACAGTATAGCCTTTATAAAATAAACTTCTCTATTTAATAGTCCAGGTAGAAAATATGCAAGTAGGGCTCCTGTGCTTCTGCTGGTTCACCCTGCACACAGTACTCTCACAGTAGAGGGTACCCACTGCAACTGGTCACTCCAAAGCCAGAGGTTGAAGGCTCTTTGCAGACTCACTAAGCAGATATTACACTTGGCCTGTTATAATATTCTCATCTCTTTTCTGTTAGACAATAATATATAATAAAAAATTTTTGATACAGTTTCCCTAGTAAAGACTACACTATTTTTATATTTCAATCCTTATGACACCAGATTAGTTTTTTTGATAGTCTATCACAAATCAATGCCAGGTTTCTTTTTTTTTTTTTTTTTAATGTTGTGGGCCTTCGAATTGTATCCTGTATAAAGAGCAAGCTATTTGTAATTGAATATAACTTAAAATTTTTCAGCTCAAGCTCATCTCTTCCATACTTTAGAGGATGGAATTCTGGAGCCCCAACTTAATATATTTTTAGACATTTAAGCTAAACCACAAGTGCCACCAAGGACAGCATGGCTGTCGCCTGTGAGCATACCCATGCTCTAGATCACCCTTTGATCTTATAGATCAACAGTGGCCCCCTGTGTGTATGGACATTTAGATTCTTTCCTTTTTATAAAAAATTATCAGCTTTAGATAATTATCAACTTTAGACTTTGTCTAGTGTCTAAAGCTCTGAGACTGTATATATTTTTAGTTAGCAAACCAATATATCTGCATACCACGTGTTATCAAAAAGTTCTATATAAGGTTGATTTCTGCCAGAGCCTTTTGCTTCTGTCAGATGCCTGCTTTAGACAATTCATCTTTGAGAGACTCTATAGGATCTTCAGTGATTATCGTTTTCTGTTGTCATGTTAAACCTATCTCTGATGGTACCAACTTGCCTTCCTTAATTTAGGTTTCCAGTATAATTGTCTCAGTTTGACTATATTCCATGACTTCTGATATTTTATCCTTATCTTGGTGGGCCAGTAACATATCTATTTTTTATTTGAATAATTTCAGATGTGTTTGGGGAATAAATATGAATGGCAAGCAATAA